GTAGATACACATACTTATAAAATTAACAAACTTAATGAAACTAACTAAACCTATTCGATTTGAGCAATTGAATACCAACAAAAACAAAAAATAACGATTTCAAAATGTTCAATGTTAAATGGTTTAAGCCAAAACACACACACACACACACATACACACACACCTTGTTAATCTTCCATGCACCTTTGCGCTCAAAAACCATCAAACTAACAAATTACTTAACGTTTTTTCTTGACTTAACTAAAGCACATGCCACCATTTTTGAGATTGGTAAAAAAAGCAAAGAAAACAAAAAATTAATATATATATATGTAAAGAATTCGTATCTTAATGTAGTTAATGAGTAAACTTTTTTCAATTAGAGCACACGCGCAATAAATCAGAAACCAAAATCAATTCTGGAATGCTGACAAATTAATTAATTAATAATTATTAATTAAACTAGCACAAACAATTACAAAACGAAACACCAAAAAACAAAAACCAAAAAACCCAAAAACCCAAAAACCTAGCAGCAATCAAGCAAGACGCAAACAAACTACAAATATGAAGCAAACAAATGCACTCAGGGATTGATTTAAAGCAACCAAAAAAAAAAACAAACAAACAAAAAAACAAAAACCAAACATATATAAAAATATTTAGATAAAAGAAGTACGCTTTTTGGAAGCACAGCAAAATATCGTAAACCTTTTGCATTGTTGCGCCCATTCGCCCAATCGGCTGCCTGGCTAGTACCTAAAATAATTAGAAATAATTTAAAGAGCGAGAGACAGACAGAGAGAGAGAGAGAGGGGGAGAGAGAGAGAGCTAGCATTTAAATGATATGAGAATTAGCAAATGTTTTTAGGCTCTTTTTATCAATTGAAATAAAACAAAATGAAAAATACACAAATTGTTAACACATCCTCATCCATCAACATAAACATCAAACAAATTTATGCCAAAAACAAAAAAAAAGCGAACTTAAGCTAATTAAATTGCATTCATATAGTTGGAATGTGCAGCAATTAAATTGCTTCTAATACAGAATATATATACATATATATATATTTATATTTTTGTCATCAACGCACACACACACACACGCCTAACTAGATCCCAATCATACAGGAGTATATATAGATATATAAAGAGAGTTATTATAGGAACGAAATATTCAACTAGCTGCAATCCTTTTAACTAATGCGACAACAGACTCTGAGCAAAAGCCCACAGAATATTATTTTTACTACAATTACAAAGATAATCATATACATCTAGAAGTACTTGAGATATTGTTGTTATAGAGCTCTCCGATTTCCCAATGCATTTTCCATAATCAGCCGCAGGAAAAGTGTCATTTGCCGTAACCAGAAATTGGTAGTCAGAATTCGTAAACCCCATTAATTTCCATATCCAGAACCCAACTATGCCAAGTGTTCCTTCTGAAATTGTATTTTAGAATTGCGTTATTTCTAGATATTTGTAGATAATTGATATAATTTAGTAACGAAGCCAACTACAATTAATTAGTAGAATTTCTATAGTTTATTTCATTTGATGTCGTTTCTCCCACACTTTTTCGTTAATCTAAATATCTTTTATGAACGGTGATTGGTTGCTAAAAAGAAATTAAATTAATTAATTGTACCTTACTCGAAAGTTCTGCGATTGAATTTAGTGTAGCATAATATTGTATTTTAAAATTCCTTATACATAGTTGTTAAACCAAAATTCTATATAGTATATACAAATGAGAAAAAGTTAATGAACTAAAACCCGAAATCGATTAAAGATTATGGCACAAAAGCAAAAGCAAAAGCAAAATTTAGTTAAGTTTTCCAATATGAAATTCGAAACCTCCTTTTCTTTTTTTTTTTTTTTTGTATATAATATTTATGTACGAAGCAACAAATTTAATTGGTAAATTAATAATAATAATATTAATAAAAAGAACATACGCTTTCGTTAAAATTAACCAACTAACCTTTTTTATTATTGTGCATAATATAACTTAACGCTAAACATAGATAAATGCTTATAACAAATTGTATTTAGATTAATCACTTAACATCACTTTTGCCCACCTAACAATTGTAACTTGTTTGTTATTCAGTTGATTTTCAGGCATTTGAAAAGTAGCGCCTTGAGCTTTAAGTGTGACCGAATTTGGCTGCATTGTAAATGCCAATGTGGCATTTTTGTGGGCGAGTTGGCAGCTCCGCGAAACAGTTATTCCGTGCGTTTAGTGTATTACAAGTTGTGTTTTTGTGGCGTTCGGCATATATTTATCTTTATACTGATCAAACATGCGCTCCAGGGCCTCCATCACCTTACCGTGCAGCTCATCAACATACGCCGGATCCGGCTGTGCGCTCTGCACCACATCAATTGGCGCGCCAACTAAAGCAATGAACCAGTTCGCATTAAAACCCAAGATCGAAAGTCTTTAAGCCAAGCTGAGCACTTACCAACTTGCACAATGGGTCGACGATAGGGCACAAAGCCAAAGGTATAGTTGAAGAAGCCACGGCCCACGGGGATCAGCGGCGATATGCCCGTCAGCTTCTTGACCATCGTCTGCAGCCGGCGCAGCAGCGAGTCCGGCGGATTGTCCACCTGATCGAAGATGTCGACTTCTCCAAAGGAAATGGTCGGCACAATCGAGGAGCTGCTCATGGGAAAGTGAATGCCGTGAATGTGCGTGCAGCTATCGCAATCAGCCGAACTCACCCCGTGCGTATGGCCATCTTCACGAAGCCCTTGCGATTCTTCAGCGTTAGAATATATTTGCCGGGATGCGAGTCGAGCGCCTCCTGTGCGCCGCCAACCAAAATGGCCACAGCATTCGATGTGAAGCCATCGCGATTGTCCGAATGCTGCGGGTCATTGGACTTTGTCAGATAATAGACCAAAGATTCCTTGGACACGGACACCAAACCCCACCAGCGCAGCAAATCCCGCAGAAAGGGTATCACGAAATGCTGATCGAGTGTCGCCACCTTGGGACGCACCTGGGGAAAGTGCTTCAGCCAAAGGCTAATGTCCAGGCCCATATTGATGCAAATGCCGGTGCTACGTGTGGGTAAGTTACCAATAACATATATACATATAGCTGATAAGTTATCTGCATGTAGTTACCCAAGAATGCCGTGCGGAAAGCTGGCCAATATATAGTTTCTATTGGGCGGCAGCTCCGCGGTCTTCACCAATTGCACGGGAAAATAATTACGATATATGCGGTACAGACAGTTCGTGCGGTTCAGCATCCAGCTAGAGAAATGCAAGCACATTAGCAGTGGGAGGATGTGAGTGGGGAGGGGGAGACGTACCCATTGCCGTCCATGGCGGAGTAGGTGCGTTTGTGCTCGATGTATATGTAGGCCGTATAGATTACCAGTAGAGTGCGTACGACAATGCCGCCAAAGTACTGCAAAAGTTCATTCATTTAGTAGACAGTGAAAACTCGCTGTTAACGGACAACTGCCTTGCTGTACAGTACTTACCAGGAGTAGGGCCATGATCAGGAATGATGTCAGTGGCAGCGTGAAGAAGAACAAGGTGAAGAGGCCCGTGACCAGAGTCTCCAAGCGACGCTTGGGCGGCACTTTGACGGGCGCCCATTCGATCTTCATGTTGTACGGCGGAGTAGAGCAGGGGGACTTGAGCTGAGGCAAGCGTCCGAGTTGATGACCCTCCGGCGACTGAACTGTTCCGGCAATGCCCAATGCGTTCTTATCCTTATCGCCAGCCGTCGAAAATCGCTGTTAACATTTTAAGAACAAATTTCAGTGATTAGTTAGCGATAAGTTTGCGTTAGATAAGGAAAGGCAAAGAAAGGCCCACCGCATGCCAGGCACAAAACTACTTTGCCTTCTAACCGTGCCGAAGACAACATTTTACATGGGTCTCGTATCGTTTTTCGATTAGCAAAGCCTTATCAATTGGCTGAGACCAGTCCCAGTCTGGCGAATGCCTAATTCAACAATTAACTATTCAATTAATTGAATTGGGCTGTAAATCAGCTTGCTTAAAGAACAATTATATAGAGTACAAAGTGTGCGTTGTGGCTGTCATATTCATGTTGCCATAGGCTTAAAAAAAAAACACATATGTATATGTATGCGTCACATGCATTGTGTGTATGTGTGTGCGTGTCAGTCGTGACCTTTAGAATGTTATACTCTGAGAACTATGAACATATATATGTGTATGTGTATTTCACTCTTTGCTCCGCTCGCAACAGTCTAGCTTCGCGTGAAATTGTGTTGTGTATGGTCAATGTGCTCGGATCTGATAAGAGGGACAGCGCATCGTCTGTCTGGGCTAATGTGCCGATCCTCGGCTCTTATCAGTATATCAGTACATATGTGAGTTGGCCTGGGTTGATCTGCTCGGTTTACGAGCCAATCCCATTATTTGCTTACTCATGTTCGCTTACTCTCAAGCTGAATCATTATGTAAGTAAATAATATATTACACATGTTCTTATTGTTGTTGTTGTTGTTGTTATTTGCACGCGATCGATTCTAGTTATCATTATCATACCGGCTGTACTTGATATATTTGTAATTAGTGATTCGAGCTCAATGGGAAATATATATGGAAACCGGTGCAAGTTATGCATTTGCATAGGCATTTGATTAGTCATACTGTTTATTTGAAGCGTTCACAAAATTAGATTTAGTAAAATACCAGTGGGAGGATTATTTTTAGCTTTATTGATTTAATAAACAACTGAAACACGCTTTCCCTAAATGTGTATACAGAAAATTCCAAAAGTCGTTTCTTGTTTCCCAATTCACAAAATTACACACCCGATCAATTGGTATCCGATTAGGCCCTCTTTCTATATTCTTGAAATATATTTGAATTCGTTGCGAGCGTTGAAGAATCAATTTTTGTTTTGAAAAAGTTGCCGTTTAGCCAGCTGGCCAGTGTGACCAAAAAGTGCGGCACTAAAAATGCCAAAGAAAAATTTGCAGCTGGTCATACTTTTGTTGATATGCGCTGTTGCGCCTTGTTGGTAAAAATAGCAGGCAATGTATACATGTTATACAGTGGTGGCAAACATAGAATACAGGTATACAGGTGTGTAAATATCGCTCATCTCAATTATATACACACACATTTGTTGCGCCTTGGGTGAAAATACAAACAAAAACCATGGCCACCGAGGAGCATCAACGCTTGGCCAACATTGTGAAAAGCTGCCACGATAGCTTGAGGCAACTCACCAAATTATACGGAGCAGAGCGCGCCTGGCAGGAGCATACCGGGCCGCACAATGCTAAAAAGCTGGCTGAATATGCGGATGCAATGCAGCAACTCGCTGGCATATGGGAATCAAATACCAACAAGACGGAGCTACAAGCGCGCAGTCGCATCAAGTGGGCCGTCGACTATATAACCAAGTATTTCTACACCGAGGGCATCTATCTGCAGAAGCGCCAGCGGGAGCAGCGTTTGCTGGCGTCTTACAACGAAATGGCAGATTCCGAGTGTGCATACATGGATGAGCCGCCGGACAGAGTACGTCTGCTGGATGTGGGCAGCTGCTTCAATCCGTTTGGCAATATACCGCACCTGGAGGTGACAGCCATTGATCTCTGCCCGGCACCGGGCGCTCATGTGCTGCAGGGCGACTTTCTGACTGTGGACTTAGATGCCACTCTAAAGGAACCGGAGATAAACAATCAGAGTGTGAAAAAGTTACCTGCTGGCTACTACCACTGCGTCATATTCAGTCTCCTACTGGAGTATATGCCCAGTGCCGAGCAGCGTCTGCTTTGCTGCCAGAAGGCCTACGAGCTGTTGGGTCCCGAGGGCATATTAGTCATCATCACGCCCGATTCACAGCATGTGGGCAAAAATGCCAGCATAATGAAGAACTGGCGCTTTGCTCTGGCCAAGCTGGGTCTGTTGCGCGTTCGCTTCGAGAAGCTGCCGCACATCACGTGCATGGTCTTCCGCCGGGCTATCAGTCAGCATCTGTCCCAGCACTGGGCCAGCGTGCACCGAGAGGAGGGCATTTGTGAGACAATCCGCATTCCACAGGATGAGCATTAGTTTAAATAATAGATGTCTTATATGCAAACTGTTATCTATGGATGTACTTGTATGAAGTATATTTATGAGTTCCTTCTTTCATCTATTTCTATGTCATAAATACTTATTAAATACTATTGCAGTTGTGATTCCTGCTTCGGGGCGTCCGCGGTGGGCTCAGCGGGTTGCGTGAATAGCGCTGGGCCGGCGCTGCTGGTCTGACGCTTCTTCATGGCCGTTGTTGCGCCCACCGCTTGCTGCATTATGTTGGGCGGCAGCGGCTTCTTGCGATCCGCCTCCCATTCGGCGCGATGCAAACGCTGCCGATGCTTGTACATGTTGGCATTTGAAAAGAACGTCTGTGGGCAATTGGGACAGGTGTACAACACCTCGCCCGTGTGCGTGGAAGTGTGTTCCTGTGAGCAAACAGTTGATTAGCATTGTTACTCTTATTTCTATGTTTAAAAGTCTTCACTTACTCTCAAATCCTGTGGCCGCTTGAAGGCCTTCTCGCACATGGTGCAGCGAAACTTTCTTTCGCACTGATGATTGTGATAGATATGGCGTTTGAGTGCGCGCGAGTTGGTTGACTTTTTGTCGCAGATGTGACAGCGATGCTCACCGCCCGGCGGTTCGTGCACTGTGCTCATGTGCTGCTTGAGACCGGACAAATGGCGCAGCCAAGTGCCGCATATCTCGCACTGCACCGGGTCGGGCTTGGGGCGTGGCTTATCGGAATGCTCCAGTTCGTGGTGTTTCTTAAGATTAGCCTGAGAGCGTAAGGTTTTGCCGCACTTATCGCAGATGATGGCAGTCTCTGGATCGTGCATATAGCGTAGATGTTCCTTTAGCTTGCGCTCTGTGGGCACCCTGTAAGAAAATAGGCATTCCGGATTAAGCACAGTTGGGAAAGCGTACAAAGTAATGCTAACTTCTTATTGCACTCGGGGCAGGTGTATTTGAAATCCGACTTGGGCACATGCTTGGACACATTGTGATACTCGACAGCAGCCTTTGTGGTGAAGCACTTGGGACACTTGTCACACTGATACATACGCTTATCCTTCGCATCCGCTTGAGGATTCGTGTGCGTTTGCTCGTGCGTCTCCAGCGTTTTCGAGTCCTGAAAGACGCGGCCGCATTGTGTGCACATAAAATGCTCTGGATTCTTGTGCACCAGCACATGCTCAGCCAGAGCCCGGCGTATGTGAAACTTGCGACCACAGCAGGCTATGAAGCCGCTCTCAATGTTGTGGGACATGCGCTGATGGCGACGCATGTCGCCGAAGTTGGGCACCAGCAGATTGCACATATGACATGGCAGCTTCTTGAAAAAGTCAAATATAATCTCATCGAATTCGTTTTGCTGTGCTTTGCGCTTTTCAATCTCCTCCCGGCTCATGCGCACAGGTGGCACCAACGGCTTGGGACGCTTGCGATACTTTTTGGGCTTGACAACAATACGTTTGGGTATTTCCGCATAGCGTTCTTCTGGCTCGATATCCGGCAAACTATTGCCAGAGTCACTGTCGCTGCTCTCGCTGGAACTGGCACTGTCCTCAGTGCCCAGCAATGCCTCGGCTGCCACAAACTCCCTGTCATCATTATCATGCTCTTCTTCCGATTCGAATTCCTTCTTCATGCAGGTCGGCGGTGATTCTGGCGGCGTTTTTGATCGGCGTCCACGTCGAGAGCTCCGGCGCAGCTGCCTTCCCTTGGCTGCACTTGGTTTATCGCTCGCTGCTGCTTGCTTTGCAGGTGCTTTTAGGTCCAGGAACTCAGCCAACGGTATGTCGCCATCCGAGTCACTGGCGAGCGTCAGCTGCTCGTTTTTGATGCGCCGCTTAGCACTGGCTGGATATTCAGCGCAGGTGCGCTTCGTTGCACTGCTCTTCTCTGCCAGCAGCGGCTCCTCAAGCATTTCAAGCTTGGGCAGCGGCTCCAATTCGTTCACCTCTACCTTGACATCGCCAGTTGCAAAGAAATCCTCGGCCAGGGCATCCAGTTCTCCCCCAAAGGCGAGAGGATTGGCTGCCTCCGATTCGTCGCAGAATTCGATGGGCACATTTTTGACATCGCAGCGTCGTTCCTGGTGGGCATTGTACACGCGTTGGTAGAACTCATTGAAGCTGCTGACGCACTCCCAGCACTGGCGGCAAATTTCCTCCTGCTCGCCCCCTGCGCTGCTCAGCTGCAAAAAGTTGAATCAAAGCAAAAGTGCAAATAGCAAATCGAAATCGCGCCCTTACCTCGAGCCAAAAGTGTTTGTTTATTGTTTTGCAAATATTGAGCCGCGAACCAACCTCGGAAAATATCTTATACGATTCGCCATACTTGCAGCACCCAAAACAGAGCACGCATGCTGCCATGGCCTAGTTTATTGCCTTGTGTTCGTTGCAATAGTCTATGCAGCCGCCATTTGCTAATAGCAAAAACAAATTTGTTTAAAAACAAAAATTTGTTTTTTATTTGTTGACAGTCGACAAACTTGTGGAGGTCGGATGATGCTCGAAAAAGTAAAGATGCTATCGATTTTTCTGCCAGTGTGTGCCCTGTCGTTAATCGGTAAAATTATCTTTAGCTACGACGGTCACACTGATGTTAATTCAAATGTCATTACGATAAACATCAGTCAGTACGTTTTCAACGGTCGTGTGGTGTGGTTGTAGAAGAAAGTCAGTGGACGCAACAAAAATTTAAAAATAGACTTTCTAGCACGGGATATAACGAACAAATGCCAAAGAACGCGCAGTCAAACATGTAAACAAAGAGATAACAACTAAAGCATTGTACAACAAGACGCAGACAACAACTACGACTATTAAAGTCAATTGAAATATTAAAAAAAAAAAAAACGACAAAAGCAGCATAATTTTGCAATTGCCTTGGCGTCTGAACAGTGCCAGGCAACTATTTTGAGTATATGTAATTGAATGATTCGTTTTTGCGTTTTTTGTTTATTGTCTGTCTGCAGAATTAACACTTTTTTTTCTCTCTCGTGTGTTTGGATGTTAAATTTGTCGTTCGGTTGGCCAATTGCCGATTTTCATTGCCTGGTTTTCAATGCGTTAATTGTTACAAAATACAAAACGCAGTCTCTAAACAAACTTCCTTCATTTGGCATGTGAAAATTGTGGAATTTCTTTTATGTTTGGCCAATTGTAGTTGTTACAGTTGACTTGAACTTGGGCCAATTCAATTGCATTTGTTGTTCAATAGCAGCTGGTTTGCAATGAAAACAAGCTGCATGACACATTTGCAGCTACAGTCAACTTCCTTTATTAGACCTTTTACTTTTGTTTATGAATGAATGCGCAACAGTTGCGTGCTGCACACAAATGCCTATTCACTGGATTGCCACCAACTAGTTGCAGTTGCATTCCGCATGGACTTGCCACTTGCAACGGGCTCGATGTGCGGGATCTATGCGGCAGCCGGTTCGCTACGCTTCGCATCGCTGAGCCTATGCCTGGGGTCTGGTCTGGTCTGGTCTGGTTTGGTTTGGAGTTTGTTTTGGATTTTCTTTTACGTAACGCCTAGCCAGGCACGAGCCAACCTAGTTAGCAATATTTGTATGTGTATGGGTGTGTGTGTGTGTGCGTGTGTTTCATTTTCACTCTTTATATTTTTGTTGCACTTGCCGAAGCAGTGAACGCAGCCAAAGTCCAGCATGACTCGAGCATAGAGCAGCACGTTTTTATTATCGCACATTTCTTCTACGGAATATTAATAGGTACATCGAGCAACAACAACAACATCAATAACAACAATAACAATTACAAGCAACAAAAGCAAAACAAAACTGGACCCAGCGCATCGCTTGGCGGAAACTAAATTCCAACTCCCGCGTTCATTGGCCAACTGACATCCAAATCGGAAGTTCCGCTGCGCATAACCAAGTGAATCGGCCATAAATTAAACATTCTATACAGAACAGACGCAGCATATTCAAATTGCCGGAGAAACTGTGCCAATCCTTAAGCCAATACGCGTTAATTATTTCGCTTACAAAATGAGCGAACGCATGTTGAGCACAATTTGGCGATTTTCGCTATTGTCGTCAGTTTTATTGTTGACATTCGTGGAGCAGGCGAATGCCTATGGATTTGGACGTTGCCCGAAGTATCCATCGATGCCAAAGTTCAATATGAGTCGAGTAAGTTCCACTGTGCATGCAATCCCCCAGTCCAAATGGACTACAACAATAAAACTTAATACATATATCAATTTTTGGCACTACTATAAACAACAAAAAGCTGTGAAATTTTCCATTAATTAGTACAAGGCGTCGGCCGGAGCATTGTTTTTTTTTTATTATTATTTTTTATAGATTGTGCATAAAGATGAACTTGAGCCAATTTGGGGTCTGCAACAATGTAAAAGTGCAAACCAGTTTAGAGCAAAGCAGATATAAAAAACTTAATAAACTTTTTAGGCACATACATATATCTATATCTATATTTGTTCGCCTCGTAGTCACCAATGGCAAACAATCCACTTCTTTAACATATTCAAGAAGCCATCAAGCGAACTACTTGAGACCATGTCCAAGCCGACGGCTTCATTGGCACGCCAAGGACAACAACAATGAGAGCAAAGATCAAAGAGATCTTCTCGTTGCTGCTGTTAATTTTTTTTTTTTAGCTGAACAAACTAGAAAATTGCCTTAATCAATTTAGCTGCCCAATTACATTAATCATAAGAGGGGAGGGGGACTTGCATATAAACGCATTCACTTGACCGCCTTGAAATCACTCGGAGTTCCATTCGCGCAAAATAAACAAATTACCATAGCCACAGCATAATAAGCGAGTGAGAGCTACGAACAAAGCGTAGCTCTTAGAGATGATCGCGTTTTAGACTGCGACTGAAGAATATTTAAGGTAGATAAAGCTGAAGCTGAACTAAAACGATTAGAGCTCTTTCGAAAAGTAAAGTCAAATAAAGTAAAGAATCTCTCGAAAGTTACTTTTAAGTCTACATGTTAAATTTACCTGCTTGTAACTGCTTGTAACTCCCTTCTGCTTGCCACATCAATCCCTTCTAGGTAGATCGTGCCTGCTTCGTGTCACATGTAAAGTAAATTAAAGAATCTCTTGAAACTC